ACCAAATAAATTTTTGATGTATGTAAAATTATTGTATTTAATTTTCCAACTACTTAATTATAATTTAATTAATATTATAAAATATTCAAATCAAGAACTATAACAATGATTGATTTTGAAATGATACTGATGGCCATACTACACCACTCATACTCATTATTTGGATAATATTTGTAATATTTTGAGTGATTAAAAAAAATTATCAAAATTATTATAAAGAAGAAGAATAACCAAGTTCAAACTCTCGATATTAAAAAATTGATTATTCATGTCAATAGTAATTCACTCGTTTTTTATTCACCTAAATAACTGTGTCATGTCAAAACTATAATGAATTAATATATCAAAACTTCAACAAAAGTCCAATGGAGGGTAACCCATGGTGTTCTCGTCTTGTGGGAAATCAAACAATTGGCAACAATCAATTTTCAAATTAAAATTATCATGATTTCTAGCCGTAATCTTTGTTTATATAAAAATCCTAACAATATTTTATGTAAAAAACACGAGCTTAAACTATCGTTTTCAAAGAAAAAAGTGTATGCAAACACGCTTTAAAACAAAAGTATACGTTTTTATTTTTAAAAATTTATCATTTAGTCCAAATAAAAATTCAAATCTTATCTCAAATGCATTTACATATCATGTATCATTTTGTGGGTATCAAAAAGTCAGTTTTTTTTATTCAATGTGAGGTACAAATGAAACATGCTAGAGGTACATTTGGGATAAAAATTGAACAATATAGTTTTTCTCAAGCTTGTTTTGTAAACACTACTTTATGTTAAAAACGTGAATTTAGACATTATTTTCATACAAACGATGATAAATTAAAAAATGATAATTTAAAAGTCATGCTAGAAATAGAATAAAATTCAAAATTTGCCATAAGTTGATTTAAAAAAAAACTCTTATCACCTAAAATTAGGCCTCTCAATGGATCGAGTTTGGATCAAATTTTTGACTATTCTAAATCAGATGGATTTTATTTTTGTGATTCATATCCGAACTAGTTAACAATCCAAAAAGTTTGATCCAATCCGAATAACTTAAGTTAACTAAATTTTAATAAATTACATCTAAATTCTAACTAATTTTTTTCAAGTAATCACTTAATTTTTTAAATATTTAAACAAAAAAATGTATAAATATTTTGGATCAAATCATAATTAGATTAAATATAAATATATTTGATCCGTAAAAATAAAAATAAAATATCAATAAAATAATCAATAATCAAATTATCAATACAATACAAATAAAAATACAAACCTACACCTATCATGGACCCTTTGACTGTGAAATTGAACCCCACAAAATTTCTGTGGTCTATAAATAGTGTGCATTCAGATTCCACTGGCCCAATCTCCAATGGACAGGTTGAAGAAGTTGCAGAGGTAAAGAGAGAATAGTAAAAGGCGAATGTCCGTTGATGTTAATGGATCCTAAAAACAGCACATTGACTGCACAGTTCAGTGGAAATTTAATGTAATTACAGGTGCATTCAGTTTGTCATAATTGTACTACTACCCACCTTTTTGTTTTTGCTTTTTTGTCTCTAAACTGGGCGAGGCAAAGAATATGTGCTTGCCAATTTGAAACAATTGAGATTAAGGTATCAAAAAAATGATGTGTAATCATATATTTTGGATAATTCGTTTGTTGTCCTTGATCATAGAAATAATTAAATTAAATTAAATAATAAAATAAAAATAAATTATATGTAACATATTTTTATTAGATGAAAAATAAAGTTTAATATTAAAGTTAAGAAAAAAAACATTGAGTTCAACAATTACATCACATTATAGGTGTTAGTTGCAGTAATTGTCCACTAACAAGAGAATAATTGAAAATTTTTAGGGGTAAGTCCAATGGTTGAACAGTTTTTTTTATAAGTAAGAGGTCTGAGATTCGATACTTTTTATATTCTATAATGATCGATCACACTTATTCCTCACGAGATATATCTTTAAACTAACTCGAGTTATGACGATAGGTCTTAGAGTTAGAGGGAATAATCAGCGCAAGTCTGAATACTATATAAAAAAAAAAAAAAGTGAGCAAGTGAACTCCACAAAATTCATTAACTACAATCCATGCAAAGAAAATGGGACTAATTTATCTATTTTTCTAATTTTTTCATTGAATGATTACATCAAGTAACATTGTTAATTAACATGACATAATCATTATGTTTAATTTATAATATAAAATACGATAAATTTTAATAAATTCATTGTCTAAGTAAATTAATCTAATAATTATCAATATATTTTTTAAAATTATTTATATTGTATCGTGTCATTAGATACAGAATTATCCTAATATTTATTCCAAAGATGGACCCATTGATTGGTGGTGTTGCATTCCGTTGAGGAAGCATGTCAAAGTGGTAAATATGAAAAACAAGAAGGCTAAAGTGTAGTGGAGACAACGTAGAGTCAAAAAAAACATAAAAAATGGGAAGGGTGGTGTGTTGAAACTTGCGGCTAGCTTTCGGGTCCCAATGCTCTCTCTCTCTCTCGTTTAGTTGTAAACGTATCAACCTACATTCCCACGACGCGACAGCCTCTGGAAATCCGCTTCGCATGACCCAATAACTTTATAATAAGTAATGTTATGTTTGGATAATTTGGATTAAACTAGAGTCGTTCGCATATTATATGTAGGTTTGTCAACTCATGGGATTGGATTGGATTGGATTGAATTTGAACCTGTTTATATTCAAATTTGATAAAAAAAAATATAAGTTTTAAATTTAATTCATTTATTTAATAAATTTTAAAATCTTAATTCATATCTGTATTTGTTAATAATTAGATATTCATTCCGTCTGAAAATTGGAATCTTAACAAAATTTATAAAAAATTAATAATTTTGTCAAATTTAAAAATTTGTCAAAGAAATTTAATTAGATTTGGATTGGATTCGAATAAATAAATTAAAATATTAATTTATATCCGATTAAATGAACTTGGATTCAGATAAAAATTTGCTCAATTGACCAGTCTAATTATACCCATTTACAAATACAAAGAAAGGAGGAAAAATAAATAAAATATCAGAATAAATAAATCTAAGTAGTTATGAGAGTTTATTAAACAATAGGAATGGTTAAATTAAAAAATAATAGAGGATATTATAAATACACTTTTAGGGTGGACACCAATCTCATCCTCTCACTTTATTATCTATATTTATACTACTTAAAAAAGTATCTTAGTGTGAAATTTTTTTTAATTTTCTATATTATCCTTACATAGATTTATGTATCCAATTATACACTAATCTCTTATTTTATTTGATTCAAACAATGACAATTTAATACTTTAATGGTGTATATTACTCTATGGGAAAATTAGTAGACACTTTTATTCAAGTACCATCTCTTTGTCTTCTCTAAATGATGGAAATCTAATTGCAACTATCATTTAAGGTAATAAAAATATAACAAATAATATGCCATTATAAATCAAAGTTATGGAAGCTAAAAGAGCTCAAAGCAAGTGAAGGGACACAAAAAGTCCAAAATATTTAATGAATTACAAAGGACATATGTCAATTATAAATTCATCTCACCCTCGATGCATAAAACCCACTCCAATGATGCAAATTATACGCAGACCAAATATAATAGATCTTTATACCAAAAAAGTTAAGACTTGATTAGTTAATGTACAACACTCGAGGGAGTGGTGAGGGTGCACTCATACAGTCAGAGCCCATCCATGTTGGTTGCACGACATATATGACAGCAAAGGTGACACCAATCGCATGGACAGTAGCAACTGTTATTCCTTTGGTGGGTGTGATAGAAATTAGCAGGCTTGTCTCTAACATAAGAAATTGAGACATTGGTCATAAGAGATCAAATAAAAAATATCACGAGCATACAAACATGATGGGCTAGCATTGTTTTGAAAATAAGACAAACTCATGTCCAAATGGCCTAAAATATGGCTCATACATAATCAACAATTTCAATAAATAGGTTGAAAAAGGATGGAATTGGTTTGGGTTAATCCAACAAGATGTGCACCTCATGTTGAGATCTGATGCAACAACAAAATTTTCATTTTAAATTTTAAATTTGAAATACGAAAAATAAAAAATTAGAAAACATTGCTATGGTATTGAAATCAATTAAAACATTAAGGATTTGATTGTTCCAATTGAATTTTTAAGAACGATGCTTCAACCTAGATCACGTACACCAACTAGTTAGTATAAATATACAATCATTGCAAAAACGAAATGGTAATTGCCCCTACCTGTTTGTAGTAAATTGTCGAGTTTATCTTTAGGATACACCAAATTCCCTAAATAAGTTAGCTGACAATTTTTCTAAATGATTTTCCGTTTAAAATTGTTTTGGAATATGTAAAAATAATAGGAGATAGGAGAGACGAGAGAAAAGAGAGGAGAGAGATTGCAGCGGTTACTCGTGCGATGTACGAAATTTATAATTTTTCTCAACCACCGCTCTTGCTTTATTGTAAATCCCCCCTCCACCCTCGCAACCTGCACTCCCTACCTCTCCCTACCTTTTCCTATCCGAACATTACTAAAAAAATAGTTTATAATGTGCTAAATCAATTTTTCATAAAAAAATTGAATGTAGAATAGGTAAGAAAGTCAGGGAGGAATACAAATATTTGGTAGTAAGAAAACCTGTGAAGAATCATTGTATTTCAATGTCATCTTACAAGCAAGTGATGGAGGCAGAAACCACTGGACACAACAAAATTGAAACTATTGAAGATAAAAGAGTTGAATACAACAACAAAATGAGTGCTCTAAACACACCTGCCCCTGACCTGTCCTATCTTAGAAAAAAATATCATAAAAAAAACACGAAATGGATATGGGGTTTCTTACCGCTTGACTTGGTTCTAGGCTTATGGAGAAAGGCGCATTGCATGGGTTCCAAACCTTGTTGACTACAAGCTTTGACAGTGGCGCATGCCTCTTCTTCAAAGAAAAAATCAGTGTATACTTCATTCCATCTCTTTCTCAGGTCCGATATACATAGTACAGAACGCAGAAAGCAGAATAAGCGAACATCCAACGAGCCGACCAAAGGATGGAACTACTCTTGACAATCCAATGCCCCATAGTTGGGATAGGACAGCCTGAAACACAAGAAGAAGCAATGATATATAACAGAAGATGATAACAGTCCTCAGATTATAATATGCAACACTTCAAAGCCGTACTGCCCTATAACCACGAAGTTATGGAAACCTTATTCTTTCAATCTTTCAGAAAATATATGTGAATGCACAGCACCCATTCACTAATATATACTGGAAAATGTTTCCAACTAATAACCATTTGGCAAAACAGTTTAAGGTAGCAGGTCGAGCCTAATAGATAAATCCATTGCCTTTATCCCAGTAGTTAAATGGTACAGGCTAGTTAATGGAAAATTGGACCATGAATCTTTTGTTGTCTTCCATAATGCCGTCAAATCTAAGCAAATATTAAGCCAAAGCTGATCTGAATGGGTCAAAGATCATTAGAGGCAATCCTTTATCAGAAAGGCAATGCATTTCAGATTTGATAGGAAATGACGTTGCAGAATTCAAGAGAATTGTTTCCAGTGAGCTATTTCTATAACATGAAATGCTTGACAGGAGACAATGAAGAATATTACAGACAATTATTTTTTGGAAAGGCAATGCATGCCAAAGTTGATGGAAGATCTTGCAGAATTCAGGAGAAATGTTTTGGATGAGCTATTTATATAAACTGAAATGCTTGAAAGATGTCTTCTTTTCCTTGAGTCTTCATGAAACTTGATAAATATGGCTGGCAGCTGTTCTCAGAATGTAGATGCAAAAATACTTCAAATGTTCCTCTGAGATTCCCCTAATCCCTCTCATGTTGCCTACCATCAGAATTTCTCCTCCAGATCATTCTCAACTGTTTCCCTATCTTAATTTCTACATTCTTACAAGGTTGTAAACATCATGTCTGTTTCCAGTTTATCTTCTGTTATGAATTCCCGGCAAAATAAATAAGGTGAGCTTGTTCACAAATAAGAGTTCCTGCAGAAGTTTTGTGCACATGCTCTTCATTTACTATTTTCTGCTAACAAGTGGACCAATATTTAAAGAAACTGCATTATTAGAACAGCAAACATAAAGAAGCTGCAAAAAAAAAAAAATTAAACCTCAAGGTACTGGATATTTGCAACTCTGCTGGTTTTTTCAAGCTGAAGTCCACGCGCTAAAAAAATCTGCAATACAGTAAAAGGGCTCTTAAATCCAAACTCTGAAAACAGAGAAATTAGAAGCATCTATTATCTTTCCAATGTTAATTGCTTCATCTTTTATATACTGGAAATCATCCAAAAAAACATTTAAGTTTAGCATAGTACCTCAGCAAAGAAGGCCAGTACCCCGAGTACAACCATAAGAATGAAAGAATAAAAGCCAGGCAGCACAAACTCCTGCATTGCAAAAGCAAAAATTAATTGTACAGAGATACACTTGGTATAATCCTGGGGCTCTATATTTTTCAATCGACTCTTTGGGAGAACTTATCAGATGAGCAATTTGTATCCACTGCCTATTTTTGAGCCCATTCTGTACATTTCATGTGTACAGGGCTGCAGCTCAGTTCTTGGCACTTTCTAATCGAACAACAAAAGTTTAATCCTTAACAGAGGGATAATAGAAAGCAAAAAGATAGAATGAATGGAAAGATAACTATCTTGACTCCTAAATTTTAGTAAACAACTATCTGTAGTAAAATACCTCTGCAGCATGGATTTTTTGGTTTCTTTTCAGATGAGTTGCGAGTTAGGCAACCAAGAAAGTTATTTGTTACTTTCACATGTATTTAGAAACTACTATGAAGAGATCCCATGTCAAATGGACTCAGGTACATCTACAGGTGCAAATGAGCCCAACATGTTGACGCCACACTCTTTGGTTGCCTAATGTCACTGATGAAAATTATACGTGGTACCACTTTCTTGATGACAAAAAAATGGGCCCAACATGTCGTTTTAATCTGATTTCAAATCTGATCACAATAATCAAGGGCTGGAGTGGCAAAAGATCTAGATTTTATCAACTGCAAACCCCAAGATACAGTCAAGCAATCCATTAGCATAGTACTATGAACATGACTGGATTCAATACCAACACGTAAAAGATGAAGCCCTATGAATATAATACAAACTTCTTGCAAAATGGAACACATAGCTCTCCTGTTGCATATGATAGCTGATTGCATGTCCAGTAGTAAGCCTGTTGGACACGACACTTGCACATATTCATTTTGTCTTACGCTAAGAAGTACGGACACGGACATGGGTCACGGATACAACGCGATACAGACACTGAAATTTTTCTCAATATTAGGACACGGATATGTTTGAGGATAAATTGAATAAAATATTCATATATATTATTTTTAAGATCATTAGTTTGGAGATTTGGTTAAATTCTTTTTCTTTTCTTTGTTTCTCATAGCCATAGGTTCAAAATTTTGGCCTAATTTGTGCTTGTTTATTAACATGGTTTCACATATTTGGCCTAATATACATATTTAGTCCACGAGTTTCTTTACTGTAAATGTTGATTAATAATTTGGCCCAAAGACATGGTGGAAACTTATCACTCATTAGTTGTGGATTCACAATAGCCGGTTCCTCAAAAAAGAGCCAACTTCTCTGGTCCAATCCCACAAACCAATTGTAAAAGTTCATGTAACTGCCATCACATATGATCATTTAAGTTAATAAGGAGAATCTATTACAGGCTTTATAGCCAATAATCTATGGCCACGTTGCATATAAGGACAAGGAGAAGGATAAATATGGGGTAACTTAGAAGACCAACCCATCATTGTACACTTCCATCTCAGTTATCAATTCGTCTCTAACATTGGAAATGGGAAACCCCCCTCTCTCTCTCTGGTTTTTCTCTATAAACGTTTGCAACATCATGTCTTTTTTGATTTTTCTCTTTGTCTTCCCTTTCGTCACCATTGTCGACTTTACCGTGGATTCTTCTATCTACAAACAACACAAAATTGGTGAGCCACACTCAAACGACTCCTGACGTGTCCGAATGTCTTCTGGGGCGTCCAGACGTGTCAAGAATTTGGAAAAATAAAAAAATATTCATACGCTTTTTCCCGCGTATCCAACATGTGTCCAGGATGTGTTCGTGTCCCAGACTTTTGTCAGACCGGATATGTGAGGGAAAAAAAACTTGTCGATGCTTCATAGGTCTTACGTTATAGATGGGCACTTCCAACAATTTGTAGTCTCTATAAAATTTCGATTTTAAAAATATTGAACTTTGTCAATCACAGGTCCCCAAAAAACTTACACGTTTAAGTTTTACATGTATGGAGTTTTAAAAAAATCCATGAGCAGTTAATTTACATGCCTAAGCTTTTTGGATGATCCTTTTTTGTTGTTGTCTTCATAAGTGAGATGATGGCCAAAAAAGTCTTAGGAAACCATGGTTCAAGGTTGCAGCACCTTCTATCGACTCAGAGGGCATTAATATGCGTCAGTTGAGATGTTGAAGAATGGTATTAGGTGACACACACAAAACAACCTACAGTAGTAGGAATTGAATATGGTCAGAGATTCAAACTATATCGCAACATCACAGAGTGGTATGGATGACATTATGACAATGACTCGAAGAGACGTCTTCTAGTCAACCACAAGTCAAGTGAGACTCGTGGTTTGCACTAAATGTGATATCAAAACGGAAAGTGCTGAGTCGAATCCAACTCGGTCGATTCATAACGGTATGAGTTTCGGCTGATTATGTGAATCATCCATGCGATTAGTTCGAAATTATTTATTAGGTGTAAATTCCATATTAGGATACTATCTGAATTCATGCATAAATGGCACTGAAATGTCCAAAGAATAGAATATATGGGAAAACAACAGGTAGTCAAAGCCACCAATAAGTCAGAAAAACCAGTCCATATTCCAACAATCCTCTTCTCAAAGCCAAGAACAAAACACAAAATCAGGCAATCAGAGATATGAACTACCCACAATGAGACTAGATATTTTACACATTAGGCGCTACAACTGTAAACCAAGAACTTACCTGAAAGGCAAAATTGCATATGACGGAAGCAGGGCTAGCGAGTATGCTAAATGAAAAAACCGTGACCCTGAAAGAGAACAAGAAGCTTTCTAAACCACAATTTTCAGAAATATTCAACTTTTACAGGACATTCAGAGGAAAACTAGTATATTTTCAGACATACATGATATTTGACGGATGCCATATAATTCTTCAGTCTCCGAAAACAACAATGCTAGAACCAGCAAGTCATAACATAAACCAGCAAATGTTTCATCTTGATTGTTTTAGTATGCAATAAAGGCAGGAAAAAGAAGCTATTATCACACAGGTACATAATAGCGTAGTCAAATATGTTTTACCTTCCTGTCTTTATTGCATACTAAAACAATCAAGACGAAATATTCATGATCTTTGGCTGTGGTTGTTGGAAAAAGGTATAAAGCCACATATGCTGTTGTGATGATCCAAAAGGCATGGCATTTTCCTATTTCCTATGTTCTTTATTTTCTTCTTTTGAAACAAAAAAATGGATCCATAACGATGAAGATTTGGATCACTACATGAAATAAATTCAAAGATGCAATCTAGTGATCATACACAGGTTGATCAGATGTCTTTGCTCCAGCCCTTATAAGGCAGCAGCTTATACCACCAGCTATTGATGCAAATAATCCAATCAAAACTGCATACATATGATGGCTCCCATTAGCATATGAATTGGTTGCTTCTCCAGCTTTAGCCAACCCTCCTGCACAATGTCCAAAATTACGGATGCAAATTCCATAAAAATATCAGGTAAAACCATTTTTCACTGGGCATGCAGAAAAGGTCTCTGAAAACATAAATATGATTCAATGGCAGAAACTATGGAAAGGCATTACCACACTTCTCATATATCCATATCTAAAAACCCCATGTTCTAAAATGAAATTAAAAGTTCAAGATAAGTTAGAAACAGGAGTTTACATCGGAACTCCATGGTGGACATCTATCAGCATAAAAGATTAAAATAAAAAGCACGTAGAATTAATGCTGATTTCTGAGTCAGACACAGCAATGGAAGCCAAAGCAATCGCAAAAGCAAATTATGCACTCAAACTTACATACCAAATAATTTTACAGATGGTTTTCCTTTTCTTTTCTTTTTTTTTTTTTGGGGGGGGGGGGTTGCGGGGTGGGAGAGGAAGACAGGTGCATGGCCATTTTGTTCCAATAATAATAAATGCTAACAAATTACATGCTCTTTCAATCATACTATATTTAGCACAAGTCCTTGCCATAAAAATGATTGTCCTAAGCTCAAGACGTTTAGTTGGAGCAGAAAAAATTGTTCATAAGGGCTAAACGTTGAAGAAGCTTAGAGCTTAATGGCTCAATGAGCCCAAATAATTTCAATTCAGATAGCTTGTATTTGGTAAAATGACGGATTGCCCAAGCACCAATAAATCAAGATGTGGCAACAAGGCCATTGATATGAAATATGCAAATCCCTTCAACTTGATCCCATTCAGGCCTTAAAAGGTTAAATATCATTACATCAGACAAAGTAAAAGAAGCATGCAAGGTGTATTAGTAATACTTATTTAGATGACGTGTGTAATCAATTTAAATGCATTTTTTTACCGTAATTCCATTTTATAAAGACTAGTAGCAACAAATAAAAACAAGTATGACATGCATTGATGAAATCAGAGACACAAAGTTCCAATAATAAGCTTACACAAAAAGAAAAACAATTATGACAACCAATAAACCAAAATTAAATTTATGTAATTTCCTAGCATTCTAAGGTATCATTTACTGTAGAGGGGTTCAACTCACTTCTGTACCTTGTGTGGTAAGCATTGGCCTGAAAATGAACAACACACCGAAGAAACTGCAAGCAAGTCCTGAAAAGTGAACAACGGTCATTAAAAGAATTACTTCACTTGCAAAAGAAAGGTGAATACAGTGTTATGTAAAGCATCATGGAACCAACTGAGCTAATCTAGTTGGCCACCCATTCCCATGTAAGCCAAGGAGCAGCTTACATACTATATGAATACAAGACTTAGAGCTTGTTCATAAGTTGGTTCCTTTGAAAGATAATTTTGATTCTGTACATCTCTTTTATTTCCAAACATATGGTAAGCTAGAATTACGGTCCAGCGTCTAGGGGTGAACTTCAACAATTTTCAAGGCAGGTGTTGTGCCCAGGTCTGTGAAACGACAATCTAGAACTTATTCCATGGCCAAGCAGTCAAGAACCTTTATGAAGAATATCTCACCCGTCATCAAGCTGGTACAACAGTAATTTTGGGGGGCCACAAGGAGCATTAAAAATTACAGTTGGACGCTAAAGGAGATGCCAACAACCTCAAGATACACTGCAGACAGACTCAGACCCTCAGATTAATAGATAGGAGTCTTCTTTTACTCTTTTGATGAGTAAGATTACGACATATCATTTAAAAAAAATGTTAGAATTCCAATTGAATAAACAAAGTGGACAATGACCCAATGGGCATAGATAAAAAATTGAAAATGAGCAGTGAACTGGCATGAAGCAGACCTCTCTAGCAAAAAGCGGTTAATAATGGAGTTCCAATAGTCCATACATTAGAAAAAATTTGACTCTGCAAAAATGAAAGTGGACAAGGGAAAAAATAATTTCCATTATTTCCTTCAGTTATCCAAGGCTCATACCCTACTTCGAACAATGAAAGTTATACAATACATCAGACACCCCACATATAAACACACGTCCAATTATCATCCTCCAAAGATTCTTTAGAGAGCCCTTGTCTTCATCATGACATTATTTACCTCATACACAGTGCTGTTGTAGACTAAAGATCATGTGAAAATAACCACCATTTTGTGTTGACCATACCTCCCATTTCCGTGATTTTCAACTTCTCACGCAATATAATTCTTGCCGCACTTGAAGCCATAATTGGAGTTGTAAAGCTTAATGTGATAGCCTGAGACAGAGGTAACCTTTGAATGCTGCAAAAAAAAAGTTAAGTAGCTCATGGGTACCAATAAATCACATTGCAAATGCAAAACTTACAAATTATTGCAAAAATTACAAGGATAATATGGCAATGCCGATGTCAAAGAATAAACAAAACCAGGAAATGCAGAATATCATGGACAAAGAACAAAAATGAAATGCATGTACTGGGCCAGCCATCAGTGGTAACAACTACATCACTATTAAAATTGGTGTCACTCAAAGCTAACAAATTTACTTTTGTATTACATTGTTCTGCAAACAATTTTACTATAGTAACTGTTATAGGACACTGGATAACTCAAAAATCTGGGACCTAAGTGCCAACCACCTGTACATCTAGTTGTTAGGTAACATGGAAAATTTCATAAAACATCTGTACAGTATCCCATGCTCTATTGGACAAAGTGAAATTTAAGAAAACAACATGTCTATAACTATCGGATGCTCAGCGCCTCATTTGGAAAGAATGCCAGACAATATTACAGGCATCAAATGTACTGCATTAGAACTTTATTTCCAACATAGGAAATGCTAATGCTGGTTGAATGAACATGAAGCCGCAAGCTTTCCATTGGACAAATACAATTCCATTCATTACCAATTGATTTTGAGTTGGATGTTTTAACATGGTATCAGAGCTAGGCTATTGGAGACTTTTGGGCAGAACTCTCTATTTCATAGGGGATCATAGTAATTGATTCCCCCATCATTTGTATCATAAGTACACCATGAGCGTGTCTTTTGGATCTTTTGTCTACTTCTCTACGTGTGAGTTGGGAGTCACATGAGCAGGAGAATACTAGAACTTTTCATAAATTAGTAAATAACACCTCCCAAATTAGTATGTAATGCTTGTGAGCCTCTCAACTCATAGTCAATTGGTTTCGAGTTTGATTCTTTAACATGATGTTTCAGTTGGACTTGGAAAGGGTTTGGGCAAGACTAAACTTCACTGATTTCATGAGTGATTCCCCCTTTGTGACATAGATGCACTTGTTACATCTTTAGATTTATCTAGTGACGTGTAGTGAGGATTGCCTGAGCGGAGAAGTGTAAAATTACCTGACTTAATATCAATTTTCAACCAACGGAGAGATAGAACAAGATCTGAAATACACGATCTGAATATAACAAGGTGCAATATTATGAATAAAGGTGGAATCACTTATCAACCAAAGAAATTAAGTCTCGTACAAGCCTTCTCGAAGCCCAAGCTTTGATATCACATTAATGCATTGACTGGGGGGCCTCACAAAAATCTTTCACTAGTTTCGAAGGTATTATTTTACCAATGTGAGACTAGCTCTAATACTTCTTGCACGTGCAACCCCCAACTCACATGTGGAGTGGTAAATAGAAGATCCAAAAGACAAGATCAAATATATCAAGCAACACTTTATGGCATGAACAAAGAAGGAATCAAACTATAAAATAAAGAGTCTTAACCAAAAGCCTCCTATAGCCAACTCTAACACCATGTTAAATCATCAACTTCTAAATCAATTGACGAGGCCCACAAGATTCATATACTAGTATGGCAGGTCTTATTTTATTGATGTAGAATAAGCTCTAACAGCTAATAAAAAATGTCAAAAACAGCTATAGTAGGAAAACTATTTTGGCTCCATGCCACGAATGTCAACCAAAAAAACAGTTAACTACTAAACACCATTTATGTGAAGACTTCTAGAGATACAGATGCTCATATGGTCTTGTAGTGATCACAAAGATAAAGTCCTCAGAGAAATCACATGGCATACTTTCCAATTATGTGCGAACTATTTAGAATAGCAAACCGAGATATCTAAGATCGGAGTCATGGGAAAATAACTATTAAACGGATAGATTAAGCAAATTTATATATGAGATTTTCCTATCACACTCAGGGAACCTCCATTCAGGACCAGCACTTTGTATTGCTATCAACTGCCATGAGTGGAACTACAAATTATTTGAAGAAAAGGTGAATAAGGATCAGAAAGAAGGCAATTTGATTTAGTCTCACTTACACAATATCCTTAGTAAGACTGTGTATTGTCTCCCCAAACATATAAAAGCGTTTTTTGGTATTTCCTTTCTTGAAAATAAAATGAACTTTTACAATGCAGTTGGTGCAAGGAGTGCATCTTACCAGTAAACAAAACCCAACAATGACAGAAATCCAAAGACAGCTCTTGAAACCAAAAGATTCCTAACATTTGATGGCCCAAATATTGGTTGCCCGCTCCTTCTCAACCACATAAATGACAACAAGAAGATAATTGTACACCTTGTAAATGCTATCTCAAAAAGGGGAATTGATTGAGCTGTCATTCGAAAACAAGAAAAAATTTCAGTCGGTGTTAAACCCCATATACATTGCTTAAAAGGATCAATTGAGGGAAGTGAAATATATATTCAGTGTCAATATAAAGACAGCATTGAGACCTTCTGAAACAATCTCAGATTCTGAACAAGAAATGTGAAGTTCCAATGGAAAACAGATAAAAGGTAAGAGGTGAAACTGACCACATGAAGGTACCATTAAAGCACTTAGTATGATTGAGAATCAACCTCCAAGACTGATATAGCATGTATATATTAGGAAACATGGCTTCTCTAATTTGTGCCTATTTTACTCCCAGGGATTGCAACATGTCCTTCATCCAATAATAAATTCAATGGTAAGGAGTCATGTGAGTTTATTATATTGAGAAGGATCAACTGATTTGACTAAACTGCAAATAACTTCAGTATTACCCAATAATATCTCCCAAAAGGAAGCATATCATTGCAGAATCGGGTACATCCATGATTTGCAAAGATATAAGTGCAAATTGAAAAGCTAACCATACTAAAATATTTCAATATGGTGTTTAACCTTTAGAACAACAATAATAGTTCTAAATTATCAAAGATCCAATTACATTCAGATATGTGGATGGAAACATCTATTCACAACTTGCAACGCACATAATGAAATTTTCATGTAGTCAAAAGCCACATGATGGGGATCGTGTAGGAATTAGAAAGATATTTTAGATTAATTATGAGAGTAATTTAGTATTTATCTTATAACTATAAGTATTTTTTTTTAACTTTTAAGGGTTTAGTTGTCATTTTGATTATTTATTTATTTTAGGGTTTGTAATCTCCTTATATATATATAGGATTTGTGAACTCCTTATATATATTGGGGATATATATTTATTGTGAGACTAGACTTTTAATTATTATTGATTATTGATATTGAATTTTTCTTGCTCAAATTCTTTCTCTTTCTCACCCCTTCTTCTTTTCTCATCTCCTTCTTTTTCCCTTATCATCCCTAATTCTTCCTTATTATGATCCACATCAATTTGATATCAGAACCCAACTTCGATTCATACAAATCACAAAAATCTCGGTAACACTGTTCCTGAAAAAAAAAAAATTGAACTGTCCTCAATAGATTCAGAAAATTGCAGCAACATCTCTGCTCTAAAAATTACAGAAACACCCTAGAAAGTTTCAAAAGTTACAGAACTACCACTAAAAGTTCTAAAAATTGCAGAATCTCCCCCCATAAATTCCAGAATTACAGAAATATCACTCCAGAAATTGCAGAAATATCCCAAAAGTTCCAGAATTGCAAAAACATTTTCAATAGATCCATAAAATTGTAAAATCATCCCAAAACAGTTTCAAAATTTCTTCTTGATTATGGTATGCATACTCTTATAGAATTTGAGATTAATATTTTTATTCATTCAGAAATTAGAGAATTAGCAAAAGGTCCAAAACACATTTTCTTCTATTTAAACTTTATTGAAATTGTCAATTGTATTCTTGAATTTGTTTTCATATCATTCTCATCTTTCAAGAGTCACTCATGAGTTCCTCTAATGCATATGTTTCAAGAGTTTCTCGTCGAAGTCATCATCATAGGAAGTCTAGGGATGTTTACATGAAGTCAACCCATATGACCTCACTAGTAAAAGATCCTTCTATATTTAGTGACACTTTAGATCCCAATTAATTCTTGGATTGATTAGCTAATTTAGAAGAATATTTTGATTGGCATAGCATGTCGGATTCCCATTGTGTCTGTTTTGCTAAATTAATGTTGAAAGGTTCCGTCAAGTAGTATTGACAAACAATCCAAAGAAGCCTAGACCCCTTAGGAGAATCATCTATCACTTAGGTTGAAATGAGATATAAATTGAAAGAGAAGTATTTGCCTACTTCCTACATGGGTTAAGTTTATGACCAATGACTCAATCTTTGACAACATTCTTCTAGTGTCTCTGATTACTTTGCCCAGTTCGATTATTTTATGTACTTGTGTGACATTGTTGAAGAACCTTGGACAATTGATCAGTTTATTCTTGGATTGAGACAAAAAATTAGTAGGGAGGTTAAGTTATACACTTTTAATACGATAGTTGCAGCCTATCAATATGCTCTAAAGGTTAAGAGATTTCATAAGAAATTCAATTATAACTTGATGGGTTCTCAATCACAATCTGTTAAACAACGTGAAAGGATACCTTCTAATTTTAATTCCACCACATACGAGTATCATGACTACTGGAACGATGTCCTTATTGTTTCTGCATGCTCTCCTAATCCGAATATGAGAAAGGATTTAGATATGCTAGTATCGGATAAAGAGAAAAATATTACTCATATTGACTTCCAACTCCCTCATTCAATTTTATCAGATCAGAGTCCTTCTCCTTTGCATCCACAATAGTTCATATCAAAAGAAAGTGTGTGTGAGTTATTGCCTGTGCCAATTCTTGAACCATCATTGGTCTTAAAAATTGTGGAAAAATTTGTTAAGTCTACCCCTATGCAAGATATTAAGCCAATCGAGTCATTTATTGCAGAATCTACTAGTGACTATTCTGTGTCTACTTGTCCAAGTCATCATGACATGGTTACGGATTCTTCCCAACTTGAGATTGTTGACATTGTTCTGAATTCTGCCCCACTTGAGAGTATTAACTTTGATTCTTTGCCTACTCTCAAGTGTTCAATTGAGTCTGTACTTTCTTATTTTTAGCATCAGGGTGTTATAATTACTCCAATGTCATTGATGTCTTGTCCCACTGAATACCTTTTGTTCAAATCTAATAAAAATTATTTTGCTATTCTTGAGTTTTGATCTAATGCTTATTTTCTTAATTTTTCATTGAATGTTAATATTAGTTCAGATTTTTATTTGGAGGACATGTTACTTAATCGAGGTACTCCAGAGCCTCCTATTTTATTATCAAGCGTTTCTACAGATAGAATTGCTTCTTCCTTAGCATTAGCTCCAGTTCTTATCTTTCCATTTTCATTGCGTATTTCAGAGCAAATAAATGATGTGCTATGTGACCAGATTTACATTGCTACAGATGGAGATTCTTACATTTATTCTGATCGATGAAAAGATATTGATGGTTATTTCATTCTAGATAAAGCGTTCTGTCATCTTCGTTCTGCTCTCGTAAGGTACTTCTATTTTGAAGACTCTCTGGAGGAGAGTTTTTCTCAACTTGAGGAGAATGATGAGAATCGTGTAGGAATTGGATAAATATTTTAGATTAATCATAAGAGTAATTTAGTATTTATCTTTTAAATATTTTTTTTTAACTTTTAAGGTTTAGTTGTCATTTTGATTATTTATTTATTTTAGGGTTTGTGATCTCTTTATATATATAGGATTTGTGAACTTCTTATATATATAAGGGATACAAATTTATTGTGAGACTAGACTTTTAATTATTGATTATTGATTTGTGAACTCCTTATATATATAGGGGATACATATAGTAGTGTAAGACTATGGTAGCAAAGGAGGCAAAGTATGTAATATTATAACTTTTATCAGGTAAGTTATAATTTTTGTGATCAAGTTTCAACAACTTTTGGGGTCAAGTTACACCTTTTTGGAGCCAGTTACAACTTTTTGGAGTGTTTGGGGATCAATTCTAACCTTTTAGATCAATCCCAAACACCTCAAAAACTTATAATTTGACCCCCAAAAGTTGTATTTGGCGATATAGTACTGAAATAACACTTTTGTAGACTTATTTGTAACAAATAATCTAGGAACTTAATTTGTTAAGGCTCAGTCTAAGTCCAAGATATGCACTTCATATGTCAACAGCCAAAATGGCAATCCCTTTCACAGGGAAGATACAACTTCATAAACATCTTTGCAAATTTTAGTCTCAATAGGATTCAAAGTGGTGTAAAGTTTTCTATTATTTTAAAGCACAACACCGATAGGTGAGATCAATTGCTATTAATGTCTTATAGTTTTTCTTATGCATCTTTGTATATTTCAGTCTCAATAGAATTCAAAATGGTGTGAAGTTTTCTATCATTTTAAAGCACAACACCGATAAGTGACATCAATTGTATATATCTCAAAAGACAATATGCATAAAAATGAAAAAAAAAAAAACACAACTTCAACAAGAAAAATATAATAGAAATAAATATATCTAGTGATATGCTGGAAAATGACAAACAATGTCTCTAATTTGTTCCTATCTATCAACATAAAAAAATTCCCCATTTCGTACCCTTTTTAGATCCTTATTTTTTACATTAGGTTCTCATTTCTTACAATAACTACCACAAAAAAAATGTACTAACCAGAGAAAACATCTGAAATAACTTCCATGATACAATAGATGGTAGATGACAAGGCCATGCATAGTAGACCAGAGTACCTCGATCCACTCCAAGCCCACAATATAAACTGTTTAACTGGAGAAGTCTCCATTTCAGCAAATCTTGTTACTTGCTCCTGAAAATATAACAATTTCATGAAATAGTTCTCCCCTACGTTGTCCCATATATTTGAGTCTCAAAGTCCAATAAAAAGATACTTCCCTATAAGAAACCAAAAGTGCAGCAAGTTAAGAGCAATGGTCATATGACATGCTCAGGTCATAAAGATGATGGCAACATTTAGCACTGCAACACCAAATATTTATTTTAAGTTTTCAATTTAGTCACGATCCATTTTCTGACCATATCCAAAAGATCAAAGGTTGTGGGTTTCAGGTTGTTCAGGAGTGCAGCCATCACAGCTTCAAGTTTTTTTTTCTGGGCAATTAATAAAGACACACTTTGATTAATGCTTTACCCAACCCATGGCATCTTGAAATTGAAAGCATCCCTATCTGAAACCCAAAATTTACCAACTCAAAATTCCATCTCAACCTGATTATTACAGTTCTTTGCAAACTGTTTAAACCCAAAATAGTAAAATCTAAGGGTGACACATTGAAATAATCCGACGGTCATGAAAGAGTCAGTGAAAATCTATACTTGACAGAGTGGTTAAGGAAGTGGAACTCTAAGAGTCCAGAGAAACAAAGAAATATGACATCATAAGCCGTCAGTTAGAGACGATTTGGTGCACGTCTGCATAGGGGAGAGATCACGATTGCATTCATAGTCGGAAAAGATAGTTTCGACGGTTAAGGGTTGTTTACTATAAATAACAAAGACAAGACTACAGAAGAAAGATCTACGATCAACATAACAACTCTACACAGAACCAGCCTCTGTACTAAGTTTATTTCCCAGTGATCTTACCGTAACCAGTAATTCATCACTCTGGTGATTTTTACATTTTCATTTAATGTTAAATACAATAATCTTTTCATCTATCAAGTTTAGTTCCTCTACTACTTTACATTCTAATTGTCTTTCTACATTTTAGTCAATTACGTTCTAAGTTAGAAAATTGTTTAAATCCTCGATCCCCAAGGCATAGAAAAGTGCTCAGAGATAACCTACGCCTCGTTACAATTGCCTCAACAATCAATGATTTAAGAACCTCACGCCGATTCGAATAGATAAGGTCGAATGTGGTTGGATCTTAAGTCCAGTCAGACTTTGTTACAGAATAACGTCAAACACAAACATAATTCACATGAAAATTTAATATATAGCAGATATCAATCATTCAAAGGGCACAAAATCATATTCAGTCTCAACAATTCAACCAATTATAAGTTATTTAGACACGTTGGTCAGGTAAAAATCCAAAACAAGCTACAACGTGAATAATTGCCACAAAATTTCATAGGTAAATACACATATAACCCACACACATACACCTATATATACGCATCATTAATGGGCAGATTGAAGAATCAAGAAAACAAAAATGTGGGATAATTTTTAGGCACCTTAATGGGTTTTCTTCGAGGGTAAGACACGGAGAAGATGTTGATCTTGGGTTTTTCTGACTGGGCTAAAAGAGGTGTTATTTGATCGTCGGAAATTGATTCACCATCATCTGTTGTTGTAGCCACCATTTCCACCACATGGGGTTGTTCAATATCTCCTTTTTCCCCTTCATCTCCGCCATTAATCGACTGTGCTGATGCCATTTTCTTTTCACTTAGTACAAAACCCAACCCTAGTTTCTGTACATACGATTCCAAATCTTCGGAAGATTGAAGACTAATTAGAGAGCATTGTCATTGAACTCATCGATTGAGTGAGGAATGATTGTGATTTACTTCTATTTTCGTGTTTATCATACAAAATACAAACGATTTTGTCTCAATTGTGGATTCTTGATAGTTGACATGGGAACGGTCAACTAATTGGATGTACATGTGGCAACAACCAGGACAGGAATAAATATTCAAGTGAAAATCCCATTTTATGCCTGAAAGATATAAAAATTCTTAATTTGTCCCTCAAATGATTAATGTTTTTACATTATCCCCTCAAAGAATAAAAAATATTGTAATATGGTCTACCGACTTATTTTCATTTAGTCTTCCATCTGTTTTGTGATTCTTGATTGGTCGATTTGGTACAAAACAAACAAAAGACTAAACAAAAATTAAATGACGGATCATATTATAATATTTTTTATTTTTTTGAGGGATAATGTGAAAAATTTAATTATTTGAAAGACAAACTAAAATTTTTTATATTTTTCGAAGGACAAAATAAAATGTACCAAATATTCAATATAACAACGAGGATACTATATCATATGATATCACCGTCGAATAATAAATTTTTTTTAAAAAATAAGAACAACTCCCTATAGTTTGAAATTTACTAACAAATTACCACCTCAAAGTTTGTACATTTTTTAATTCACTCAAATTGTTAGTTTCAACAATAAAAGATAATAAAAATTAAGTCACATGATCTCAAATTTATTAAAAATAGAAAACTACCCTAAATTTGAATATTTTTTCTCCTGTCAAAAAACTCTCTATTTTTCTTTCCAAGACAAAAAATAATGTAAAGGGTGATTTTGTGTCTTCCTAGAATTATGAGATCATGTGATTTACAAATGAATATTTTCTGTCATTTTTCAGTGTAAAAATTAATCACTTGACTTAATTTATAAATATTCAAACTTTAAAGGAATAAATTGTTGAAACTAAAATTAGAGGGAGTAAAAAGTTGATGAAATCTACTGATCCAATGATCTTCCTTGATTTGAGATACAAATTTAGATTAGAAATTTGAAATACATACTTACATAGCACTAGTCTTTAATTAATAAATTTGAACATCATAATTGTATTTTATTGAATAGTAATATTACGTGATAATATTAACACAATATCATCATTGCATTGAATATTTTTCTCTGTACTAGGAGATCGATTTGAGTTGCAGGCTAAGGTAGTAATTTCGCTACTCGAGTATCATATTAACTATTAATTTTGATTTGAATGTTTTGTAGTTATTAATTAAAAAAATAATAAAACAAATAAAATTTAAACATGTCCAGTTTTTTTTCAAATTTTGTTACCGTAACAAGACCTTGATATTTCTGATCAAGAAATAGACATCTCTATAGTTGTTACAAGTGACTTTCTTGGTCTTGACAAAATAAAATGACAACTTAATACACAAGCTTTTGAGAATTGTGAAATTTGAGTAAAGTAAAATATATATAATTTAATTAATATATACAAAGAGATTGTTCGTGTAGCTCAAATTTATAAGGTATAAGTCAAAATACAATAAGCTTACATTGTATTCACGAGTATGAAATGTGAATAGTTAGAACAAGATTTCACTAAAACATAAAGTTTGCTAATGTAAATGAATTGGAAATTATCAATAAGGGGTATTTCCTATAACTGGGCAGGGAAAAATCTCCACTCGTAATAATTTGTGAATGACAACTTGCATTTCCAATTCCAAAATTATAAAAAAGAAAAAGAAAAAGAGAGATGCCATTGAGCCCTAGAAGTAACTAATTAGCAAAAGACCAGTGGATTGAAGTCGTCCTAACCTTCGTTTATCTAATTTATCGTCTTTCGTTCTTTCTGACATTTCTCCGGACTTCCTATTCTCCTCTCGAACTCCTCTTAACCATTGTTGCCTTATGGTCTTTTGGAGTACTTGTTATATTCCACTTGAAGGAAATGACTTTTTTCTTTCAGTGATGAAGTAAGGCAGCAGTCTACTACAGTTAGCATCACTCTCTTGAAAAAGAATAGATCAGTATAAAGAAAAAAAATAATGGCTCACTGTATAAGACTCATTTGTTACCAACAAAGCAAAACACAAAATGATGGGAAATCGTCTTCCTTTTTTAGTAGCACAGAACTTTGGAATAGCTCTAGTATGCCTGGAGACCTCAAAATAAGTAATCAATGGCTGACAGTTAAAATAGAACATTACCCTTCCAAGTTTCAACTGCGTCGAGCCATCTTCTGCGACTGAGCTTGAGCATGATGACGTTTTTCTTTATCGTCGTGTTTAGGCTTCTCGAACAAATAAATCAGATTATCATCACTTATTTCTGCCTGGGAGATTGGGATTCAGTGACATCTCAATCTCTTCGAGAGATCGCCCCTTCGTTTCAACTGTAAAATAATAAGCAAACGTTGCTGCCAACAAGGAAACCCCACCAAAGCTTGCATAAACTGGAGCAACACCAAATCTCTCCACTAGTTCGAGGAAGAACAGACCGACCATGAAGTTACAAACCTGTACCAGATACCAGGTACTAGTGCACATCAAACCTCAAATAAGAATTGAGTTGCGTGGTTGAAGAGAAAAGGGCAGTTGAAGCTTGCAAACTACATAGTGTATATTCGACCATACAAAGAGAATTTGGGAATATAACATACGGCCACATGGTACCAGTAGTTTCCAATTCTTGGAAATTCATATCTATCTACATATTAAATAGGCATTGTCATACATACCCAATGAACAGAGAAGCTAAAGCCCATGATCTTCCCACGTGTCCTGCTGCTGCTAAGCTCTGGTATAATAAGACCAGTTACTGGCCCAGCTCCAATAGCAAAACTAAATATGTACCTATGAAAAAATACAAAGTGAGAGGGAAAGGTAGCCAAATTCTTCTCAAGTATCTTCAGATAAAATAATGGAGCATTTTAGACACCACAGAGAAATGAAGTTTCAGAATTTTATCCTCAAGGCAAAATGATTGCGTGCATGATACATAAAATTGCAAAGAGAAAGTCATATTCAAAAGAATTATATACCATACAACAATAACTAGAGCAGAAAATAAAGAATTCTTGAGGCACCAACATTAACAGGGTTAAAGGAATGCACAAAAAATCAACGACATCTAATAATCTATTATTTTTAGGTATATCTTAGCTGTTAATGCTATATATCCAATAAAATTATATCAATTACATCCTGAAAAACAAATGCACTCAATCATAAACATACTAATAAACAACATACGTCATTAGCAGATAGAATGGAAAGGAAAACACGGGGAGCGATTTTGGGTTGGGGGGCAACGCAGAAGCTGGAGTTAATGAGGTACTACAGGCACTAATATGCTTCACATTTAAATACTGCAGTTCAGAAAACATACAAGATAGTTCCCAGTATGGATAAACTTTGACTGAGTTCTTCATTTATTGGAAGGCTGACAGCGGAGACTATGAGAAACATGGATATTGCCTGCAGAAAGACAAATGTTAAGAGTTATTAGTTTATAAGCTGTGAAACCAAAAGAATGTATGACTTTTATCTAGCATGGATAGTCTGAAAGCAAGTACATTTGCCTCCCTGTACATCTTTTTTGTCCCACCATGTGAACCTATGTTGTCTCTCTACATCCTTTTCATCTATGTCTGTCGTGATATGATCTCACTTCTCATGTTTTCTCCCTCTGATAGTTTTCTTTTCTTGCGGGTGTGGAGGATATTTTTGCTACCATCACAATAATCTATTGAATAAGCATTTATATGGCTTCCTTTTTAACCCAAAAAAACTCATTATAACTCACCATTCCCAAGTAACTTCCAATTAGCAGCCTCTGTCTCCCTTGCTTATCCATCAAGTACAAAGCACAGACTGCACCTGAAAAGTGGAAACGATATCCATCAACTGAAAAGAGAGTCTGCTTCTAAACCAGAAGCATATTTGTGTGCTTTTAAATATGTCTATGCAGGCAGACATGACCCAAACCTCCTAAGTTGGTAAGGCCAACATAAAAGCTCGCTAGAGCACTGCTTGTGATTCCTACATCTTGGAACGTCAAGGATGAAAAGTACAGAACACCATTTATGCCAGCAAACTGTTGAAGTACAAAGAGGGCACCTCCGATGAATGCAACTGCAGCCACAAAAGCAAGACTATCTGATACTGATAATATATATGGCATATAAGTAGATACTGCTATCATATAACATATATACCACATGACAAATACAAAGATTGGCTCACTGAACGTATGCAAACTTAATTACAGCAGGTGAGAGAATGGTTTCATCTCAAAGGGAGGTTTTAGAAGTGCACTCTGACAAACAAAAAAACATTTCTCTGATTGCAAGATCATGTACTCTGTGAAGTCATGAAAAAAAAAAGTGTAAAACGAAGTTATCAGGTTAATCAAAGCCTTGATCTTTCATCAGGAGGGGTCCCCACGTCCCCATCAACCTAAAGCAAATACATGTGATCCAAGCCGGAGCCCAACTATTCGTGGTCACTCATTTCTCACAACTTTTACCTATTAAAGACATTTGGTACGTTCCACAAAGCACAATATACAAAGTTTTGCCTAGCAATGTGAATCACTATCAGGAGTCCAAGTGTCCCACAGAATAAAGTTTAAAACCATTTATATAAGACATCCAAAAACCGAGTTAATACAACCTCTAAAGTGTGGCTCCTCTAGGAGTTCCAACCAACTGCTGTCCAAATCATCACTCCTAATGACTGACTGAAATTCATCAATAGCTTTGTTGACTTCAGATGACCCCCAGAGATCACGGATTACTTCTTTAGCCTCATGAAATCTCCCTGCCTACACGGTTAAACAAATGACGAAATTAGGAGAACACACCAATAAGAAAAAATTTGTCATTTTATGCATATTATATGAAACAGCCATACTTTACATAGCCATCGGGGGCTGTCTACAGCAAACTGCATACCAAGTGCTAGCGCAAACCCAGGGACACTGGCAATATAGAGCATCACCCTCCACCTGACAAGAATACATCATATTCTAGATAAGAAATTGTTTGGCTGCACCTAACCTTGGAATTATTTGCACAAGGGTGTTGCTCTCTAATATTCAAACACACAATCTTGTTTGAATCTCAAGGTTATTGTGTTAGAAGATATGTATATGAGTAATGCTATTAGGACCAAAAAAAACTAATATAATTTACTGATATAATGACGTGTGAAGTAATAGAATTCCAATGAAGAAGTCCAAGAGTGACCATCGCAACAACTCTATTAAACAATGTCACTCCCACATTATTAGGTCTGCAAATTAAGTTAGTTTTTAGGTCCCAATAACATTATTCTAAGTCTATTGGCATATTGGGCATTGTGTAATAAGTATATCCAAAATGGGTATACTGGTCATTTTGCTGTTATTGCATATATATAAATGGGTGAGGGGCCGAGGTGCGATACTCTTGTTTTTTTCCCTCTCATGTCTCTCTTCTCATCTCTCATCTCTAAACCCTGTTACACAAAATCACACTATGCAATCTGAGGAACAATATATCACAAATTGCAAAAGCTGCATAACTGAGAAAGAAGATAAAAAATCCCGTGTTAAATTATTTATCAATTCAAGCTTTTCTAAAGCTTGTAACAAAATTCCATGAATGGAGAACTCCTAGACACTAGATGAATTATACTGCAGTTAACAATCAACTAGATCACTGTCGAAGTGGCCACAATCCTTTTCTGTTCCTCACTTTACAAGGTCTTGCAGTGAAAATGACATCACCCAAAAACCAAAAAAGAAAGAGAATGGAAAGGAGCTCACCAATGAGGATCATTTTCTGAGGGTATTCCTAGAAAGAGTGAGGCAACTATGCCAAGGCATGTGCAAATTTGACATACGGTCCCCAGTGAACCCCTATATTTCGTTGGAGCAACCTACAAAACAGTTTTTGGGGAATAGTGAATAAAGGGAGTAAAAAGTGGCTTCAGTCAACAAAAATACAAATTTTGGCTACACAGTGTGCGAGATACAGCAACTGAGATATCATCACACTAGCTCCAACACAAACATATCATTAGAATGCATCACCTTGCCTCAAATATTCAGTCATATTTTCTGAAAATGAACTTGCAACCCTCGGGATATGATCATTTTGAGCATGTATTCCAATGCAATATGCAGAAAATCCGGCACTCAATATTAAGCTTTCAATTGAATTATCAGCATTGTATTTCTAATGTTAGTTGTCTCAACATGTTGTTACTTTGTTGGCATTGCTATGCAGAATCTCTGGCACTCGCCATTCTTTAGTCTTTAAGGAGACTTAAACATTCTTAAAACGCTTCCTACAGGATTAACTTCCGATCCCTTCTTTAGCCATCCAAGCTGGAAGTCAAGTAAAATTAGAAGGTGGATTACAACAAATATGACTGACAAGTTTTTCTAAAATCCCTTGTTATGACTTACTTCCGATCCCTTCATTAGCCATCCAAGCTGGAAGTCAGATAAAATTAGAAGCTGGATTAAAACCAATATGACTGACAAGTTTTTCTAAAATCCATTGTCATACCTCAAATTGGACATTCCAGGACAAGTAACATTGGTATTCCAGGATACAGAATGTAAAAGTAGAAGATTAAAGTTCCAAGAGGTGCAGTAAATCAGCACCTCTTCACATGCAGTATTACCTCTGAAATATAAATAGGAACAAGAACGGTGTTCACACCAATGCCAAGGCCAACAAGAAATCTTCCCCATAATATCTCATCCAAAGAGTGGGCTTGTGCGCTGTTACAAATCAAATAGTCATATGTCCTAGTGGTTTTTGCAGCATTCATCACATGATCCAAAATTAAAGCAGCAGTGATATTTGGAAAGAGGACACATATTGACAGCCTATCACGTTAATGCAGAATATTAGAAGTTCCAGAGTTGTTGCAACCCAATGTATGAGTTTACTCATGTGCTCTGTAATTCTACGCGTATGGAAGAAAAAGAGTTTTTTTTCAGCTACAAAGGGGAAAACAGTAATCAAAGGTGACACATGCTTAATGGATACCAAGTATCACTGCATGTAGTTAATACAGTAAAGGAAAAGTACCGAGTCATATTGTGCTTATAGCCCATCTAAGTGGCTTTTTAATACTTTAGTAAATTTTCCAAACCTAACAGCATCAATCATTCCATAATCTTTGTAAGTATTATTTTGTATACTTAAAATGATGTATTATATATGAGCCCTATTCTATGTTCTCTCAATCGAAGGTTAAACATGCATCAAAAGCCAAAGAGAAGACGCTACACAAGTCCAACATTATCCTTGAACAACGGGTTGTCAAATCCAACATTATCCTTGAACAAAGGGTTGTCTTTTTCTTAACAAAAGATCCTACAAAGGATGGAAATATAACATGATGAATATACCTCTAGAAGACTTCCGATTTCTCATTCCATTTTCCAACAAATGTATGCAGCAAGAATACTATGAGATGTATGAAGGAAAAAATTCCTCCAGCCACTAGTGAAAAAAATGGGCCTCGAAATTAAGCAAATTTACACATTTGTGAGTAAATTACCTTATGATTGCCCCAAGAATAAGTGGTATTGTGTCAACTTGGAAGGTGCGCCGACAACCAAGTTTATCGACAAGAGAACCAGAACCTACACTTCCGATAAATGCACCACCTATAAATATGCTCACTACAAGTCCCTCGAGAAATGAATTTCCTTCAAACCCTAGCTCTTTCGCAATAGACACAATAGGGCCATTCATCACACTGCATCACAGACAACAGAATTTAGCAGCACTAACGAAGCAAGAAAGCAAAACAAAACAATCACAAAAGCTTTCTTGAAATATTTGACAACCCACTAAATTTTACATTAAGTTATGAATCATTGAACCATCAATATTAAACTTGTCTTTCATGAGTTCAAAAACCCAAAATCAGAAAAATATTCACATAGTTTGGTGGCAAACCATGCTAACTGCTCAAGTAAAACATACTCATTTCAGAGTCTTCACCTATGTTAATTTGATGTGTTAGTGCCGTGTCATGCACAGTCTGTCTACATATGTATGTAGACATATGTAAGTAGGGAGTTGTAAGCAGGGAGTTAGAGACGTTGACACACTTGTCTTATGTCAATGTACTAAAAGGGGGGAATAGAATGAGTGGATAAGATGAAAAGACTTGAGCAGCCTATTAACTACTGGAACAAACTAGTGTGTAAAAGTTTTCTTGGAGGGTGGAGATAATGAAAGTTCTCACACCAGCCGGAGTGTCTGTCTTTGACCAGGTGCTTATGTGTATCGTAGGGGCAAACGATGAATGCATTTATAACATTGGTACTCGGGCTCCCCGCAGTTACCTCCGTACATGGGTCAACACTGTAAGTGACAGTTGTGTCTACTTGTAACTGCCTTGACTACAACTATACCTATGGCCTCTCATAATGTGCCAAGCATTAATCAGTCAGATATGACATATTCTTGGATACATCCAGGACTCGAGGAAGGGGTATGTCCTCCGAGACAAGGGACGACACTTGAGGTGGAGAGTTCCCAGTGCACTACCTAGGGTCCTCCCTTCCCTCGCCAACCCATTTGAGGCCTTTGACGAGGATTCTTACATAGTTTTGATTTTTTAGTCAAAAATTCATGTCACATCATCCCGTATATTAATCTGGACAAATGACCGCTTGTTCCTCAGGAATTCCCCAGATGCTAGTCATGCACAATCTAGTGAGCAATAACCCCTACACTAGGAGAGGAGGCTTACTCGAGGAGATTAAATTTTCAAGTTGACAATCATATCTGTCTGAGCCCGTTGACTTAGCTCTCCCTCAGGAGAACCATTTTGCCTTTCCCATTGTGGGACCCCTCCTCTCAGTCCCTTACGCCAGTTAAGCTACGGTACACCATTGGTTGATTTTACCACCGTGAACATCCAATGGGTTGCGGGTTTTCTCCAAAGGGCCTTTTTCCGAAGGTAGCCCTTGAGGATTCGACGCCTTCTGTGGTGCCACGGCCTATACCAACCATGGGATCTTGCAGGGGCTCGCCTTGTCACATCAACTCGTGACCCTCTTCTGACTCGCCATTTGTCCTTCCATAATAGGAACACCTGTCTTGATTTTATAGGCTACTACAACATATATGCACACACACGGGGAGAGGGGAGAGAGAGAGAGAGAGAGAGAGAGAGTTTATAGAGTTACCCAATGTGATAACCAAAGAGGAAATTGGACATAGACGCAATCAACACGTGAGGAAAAGCAGGTAACCATCCTAAATCATTTCCTTCACCACCACCCTTTTCTGGTAATGACACCTTCCCATTTCCTGGCAATAAAGTTTGAACAAATAAATATATGATCGAATTGGCAATACTCAAACTAACAAGCTAAAACGTCTGTGTACACACACACACACACATACATATATTTAAACCAGAAGACCTGGTTCCTTAGGCTTTAAATCCGGAAGCTGCTGTTCCTTCGCAGCCGAAACTACGAACTTTTTCTGGAGAGAAGAGAAGCCGAAACGAAAAGATGGGTGCTTGAAAGGTGTAGAATAAGCAAAACGTTTCTGGTTGGATTGAGCTGTGAAGATCACCAGAGACGGAACCGGAACGACCGGACGATGAAGTATTGAAGCACTGCACATCGGATCAAAGGCACGGTGGTCTCTGATTTCCGATTAACTGAGAAGAAACTAGTCTAGAACGATATGGGCGGGTAGATAGAAAGAGAGGGGACCAGACCCGTGACTGATCCGGATAGAGCCCCGGAGATCACACTCGCCGAAACATCATTATTATCCGCTTCAATAAGAGTTGGGCCCACAAATTTTAAACAGGACAAGGATAGATTGATCGAAGGACTGACACCAGTAAAGAGGAATGGTCTAATAGTTAATGGAATATCGAAAACGTATTTTTGGTTTTATGGTATTTTTTATTAAATGTTTACGAATTACAGTTATTTGGATGAATTATATTTAAATTATTTATGTGAATTTGAATCCTCACCAAAATTTTAATTTAACTAAGAGACTGGTTTCTATTCTAACTTATGGGTCTGAGTGACTAAGTCGTCTCTATATTATAGCTAGAAATTTCTCCCATCATCCAAAAAAAAATCTTTTATGTCAACTTTGTATTTGATGGATGAGTTGCGGTAAGAATTGTCATATCATATTTGATGGGTTAAGCCCAAATAGTCCAATTTATGTATTAAAGCCCAGCCCTGGTTGAGGAGCCCAACCTCATTGTGAATCCACCAAGTCCGAGACAGACCAATGCCGGTTAGACTTCTTGCTTAGCACGTCACCAAGAGGAGAGCACGAGAAGTTTATCTACACCGCCTTAGGGAGCCCAAGGCCGGTTGGACTTCTTGCTTAGCACGTCACCAAGAGGAGAGCACGGTTGGACTTCTTGCTTAGCACGTCACCAGAAGAGAGCACGGTTGGACTTCTTGCTTAGCACGTCACCAAGAAGAGAGCACGAGAAGCTTATCAACGGTCCAATCTTTGACCACGTTTCCTTCAAGAGTTCCCCAAACTCTTCCTTCCGTTGAGGATAAGTCGTGATCTCCACCGAAGATAATCTCTAAGCCGCGATAAAGAAGCCTTTAGGATATGTTATGATCTCCACAAGAATGATCTCTTATCTATTATAAAATGGCTCTAATCTGGGAGAGGAAGGACACACACCCCACCAGAGGCATACAGAAGACGAACCGACTACCGGAGATTATTATTTTTCTTTGATTCTCCATTCTCCCTCTCAAAGCTTGTATCTCCGTTCTCCATACCTTTGAATCAATAAAATACCCGGCAACTGAAGCCATTGAAGAGTGGACGTAGGTCGAATTGACCGAACCACTATAAATTGTGTCTTCTTTAATTCCTTCGTTGATTTCATTGCATTTATTATCTATACTTGACAGGTGGTGTCAAGTAGATGGTGTCTTGATTATAGGCCCTCGAAAGCAAGCAGATGGAGGAAGTCGAAACCTAAAAAAGAAAAAAAAAAAAAAGGAGTCAAAAACACAGGAAACGACTGGAGAAAGGGAAATAGCAAACCCTTACCTGAGCCAGACCTTCCAAATACGTGTTGACGATATTATCAGTGCCCGAAGCGCTAAGCTCAGAAATTTCTGGCCCAAACACAAACCTCCCAAGCCTTGCCCGGATAGCTGCTGGTCTCCCCATCATAGTACCAGCCCAAATCGGCACTTGGGTAGAAGTTCCTGAACAAGGAGGAGACAAAGGAGGGGTAGCACAAGGAGAGGATAAAGGTGGAACAGATGTGCCTGTCAAGGAAGACTCTGGAGCAGCAGTTGGAGAAGTTGCTAGTTGAGAAGAAGCCACCGTGGAAGCCACATGGGGAGCATCATCTGTCCTTATCACTTTGGAAGAAGGAGGGCTCCTGCTAGAAAAACGGGACACCACCACCCTCTTATTCGCTGCAAGAAATAGAGAAGGGTTAAAAAAAAAAAAAAAAAAAAAAAAAAAAGGGAGAGGAAACTAGCTCACCCTTTTTCTTCGAAGAGGAGCTGCCAGATTTCTGAGATGGAGCTACAGCTCTAGTATACTTGGGCAGGAGAACTCCCAAATCTTTGCAAGGGCAAGCTTTGACAGCCTCCAATTTCCACTCCTGGTCCCGGGAAAGCACAGGTATATCTACATAGAAAAAGTGAGCACACATAAAAAAAAAAAAAAAAAAAAAGAAGAAGTGTGCAGCATACCGGGCTTTTTAGCAGCACCCCAATGTGTTGGCACCAAAACTCTGTCGGCTTCTGAAGCCCATTCTCCACCAATAAAGAAGAAACAAGATTTCCAGCCGCCGCAATTAGAGCGCATCCCTGTAAGCACTGTACCACTCCGCGCGGTAAAATAATACCATCCCCTATTTGGTGTAGGGGTTTCGCTCAAATTATATGCTGCATGAAACTCCATAGGGGAAGCATCCTCGTGGTGCACTTTTCTCCATAAGGCAAGAAAACCGAGGAGAACTCTCCAACCGTTGGGTGCTAGTCGCCCCGGGGTCAAGGAGAAGTAATGCAAGACTCGACAAATGGGGGAAGACATGAGAAATCTTAACCCAGCCTCAAGCATCTCCTCGTAAACGACAATATCCCCGGAAGAGTCATCGCAAGCAAACTCGCCCAACTCAGCCCGACGGCACAACACGGTCGGAGGGATGCGATAAGTAAAAACAAGCTTAGAAATATCTTCATCTGAACAGAACAAACTACGAATGGTGCTCACCTTAGACCCGTCATCATCGGGTCCCACTTTGCTATTACGTTTCTTCTTCCGGGGCCTTAAGGAGTAGTCCAAATCACCATTGGGAGAGTCTTGAAGAACTTGAATCGGGGAAACTACAACAAGGGCTTGATCATCAATGGCAGCATCCAAAGCTTCCCTACTGCTTGCAATTTCTAGCCCAACGCCTGAAAGTGTGTCTGACTGCTGTTGCTCATCCAAACAAAGTTGTCCAGTAACTTGAAGGGTGCCTGGCCTTTCAATATTACACAAAGAAGAATTTTCGGCGCAAAAATCAGCACCTAAGGCGCCCAACTCAGCACCTCGAATGAGAATCGGATCAGCCCGTGCTCCCAGGCCACTGCCTAGCTCTCCCTGACAAACCTTGGACTGATTTTCAGCGCCCCCCGATGGAAAAATGCTGCTGCCCAGCGTTCCAAAGCTGCCCAGCGCAGCAGATTTGAAGCTGTCCGGGACAGCAGAAGCAGCAGCTAGGCTGCTGCCCAGCGCACCTGGGCCGTCCAGGACAGCAAGCCCAGCACCCAGGCAGCTGCCCAGCGCCCCTGGGCTGTCCAAGACAGGAGGAGCAGCCCCTAGGCAGCTGCCCAGGCCCCCAGCGCGCACAGAACAGCCGCCCAGCGCGCGCCGCCCAGCTGCGCGCCCGCGCTGCGCAGCCGCGTGCCAGCGCTGCCCAGCCGCGTGCCAGCGCTGCCCAGCCGCGCGCCCAGCGCGCCTTCGCCCCTCCTCGCCTCCTCTTCGCTACCCAGCCTTTCAATTTCAGATCCACAACTTTCTTCAACCTCCACCAATCCCTCTTCAATCGACATTGTTCACTTGAGAAGCTCAACTAGCAAGGAAGAAATCACACTCTTAGAAGGATTCAAGGAGAACACACACTTTGACTTCAACAAAATGGGTAGGACTTGAGTTCTCAAAATCTTCAAGAGGTGGGTGCTCAACCTTAAAAATAAGTGAAGTGGTAATTTGAAGAAGAAGACTATATTTATAGTCTAGGGTTTTTCAAAAAGAGGAAAAAATCCCAAATAGACTAATATGGGCCCTCTTCAAAATAAAGTAGGCAAATAGAAAATTATGGGCCCTCTTCAAAACAAAGTGGCCAAAAGAAAGTCATAAGCCATTTTTTCAAAACCAAAAGGCCAAACAAAATATTATAGGCCTTCTTTAAAATAAAATGGAAGAAACCTAAAAAAAAAAAAAAAAAAAAAAATGTAATCAATGCCTCCTTCTCCAAGTCTCCTTGGACATGGGGCATCGGGGGCAAATGATGGGTTAAGCCCAAATAGTCCAATTTATGTATTAAAGCCCAGCCCTGGTTGAGGAGCCCAACCTCATTGTGAATCCACCAAGTCCGAGACAGACCAAGGCCGGTTAGACTTCTTGCTTAGCACGTCACCAAGAGGAGAGCACGGGAAGTTTATCTACACCGCCTTAGGGAGCCCAAGGCCGGTTGGACTTCTTGCTTAGCACGTCACCAAGAGGAGAGCACGGTTGGACTTCTTGCTTAGCACGTCACCAAGAGGAGAGCACGGTTGGACTTCTTGCTTAGCACGTCACCAAGAAGAGAGCACGGTTGGACTTCTTGCTTAGCACGTCACCAAGAAGAGAGCACGAGAAGCTTATCAACGGTCCAATCTTTGACCACGTTTCCTTCAAGAGTTCCCCAAACTCTTCCTTCCGTTGAGGATAAGTCGTGATCTCCACCGAAGATAATCTCTAAGCTGCGATAAAGAAGCCTTTAGGATATGTTATGATCTCCACAAGAATGATCTCTTATCTATTATAAAATGGCTCTAATCTGGGAGAGGAAGGACACACACCCCACCAGAGGCATACAGAAGACAAACCGACTACCGGAGATTATTATTTTTCTTTGATTCTCCATTCTCCCTCTCAAAGCTTGTATCTCCGTTCTCCATACCTTTGAATCAATAAAATACCCGGCAACTGAAGCCATTGAAGAGTGGACGTAGGTCGAATTGACCGAACCACTATAAATTGTGTCTTCTTTAATTCCTTCGTTGATTTCATTGCATTTATTATCTATACTTGACAGGTGGTGTGCAAAACCATTTTTGTGCATCATCAATATTCAAATTGTACATATTATATTGTGTAAAAAAGGATTGAATTCTTATTACATAAGTAAATTTTGTATTTCAAGTTGATTATCACTCAAACGTGATAAAGATAAGTTCAATGCAATTGATGAGATGAATATTAAATTCTTGTTTATCCCAACCTTTTATACCACCCCTTACAATTAGGGATGTGATCATATCTTCACATTATGTATTAGGTGTACCTCATGTGTATTGAGTATCAAAAATCGGATACAAGATGTAGCTCTTGTATGCATTTGCTCCATAGATTTATGTTCATCAGAGCAGTTGATCCTCATTTTAAATGTTTCATTGATACTTAAAGCAAATCCTATAGATATGTGAACGTCATTGGACACATACATGGAGAAAGAG